CTTGTGTGTGCAATGTGTGCCATAAATGAAGGTGTCAACCCTAAATAGTCAATTATACAACACTACCCAGTAGACACTCTCTAATCACATCTCTAATCGAAGCAAGGAGCCCCAAGCGGAGAAGAACGGCCTCGAGATGGCCGAACTAATCAGTCAGCCCACTAAAATTAACAACAATAATTTTGGTGCCGGTGCGTATACACAGATCTTAAAGATCATAAATAATCCCCCCCTATGAGTACTCTTATTGCCAGACCAGGGTCAGTGCCGGGAAGGAAGGAATTCCGCCGAAGATAAACAATTCCCTGATGATTTCACTTTTTTATAAATTATTTATATTGTTTTTGGCCTAATTGTTTATTTGTTATGGTCTCGGAAAGGCTTATTTTTAGTTGGCCGGAATTCGCAGTGTAATAAAAGCGAGGTGTTTATTTATTTTTTATATACTTGGAGATAAAATATAAACAATTCTTGTACCAAAGATATTTTAGAGTAAAATGATTTCGAACCATAATTAATATGCTTTCAGGTCTGTATCTGTAAGCCAGAGACTTTCCATAAATACATACCTCCCCAAATAAAAAGAAATATCCTCATAAATTGCACTTCCCATTTAAATTCCAACGCCGACCAGCAGAGTCCCCCCCAGAAGCTTCCTGCCGTTCTCGAAAATCAGACAGAAATGCATAAATTTTTTGTTCATACACTTCCATAAAAACGCGAAAATAAATAAATAAATATTTAAAATATGCGTAAAACGGTCGCTTAAAATGCAAACCAAATATTGGAAGACAGAAAGGGGAGACTGCCGTTCAAAGTAAATTTTATTAAAATTAAGCGCAAATATTTTGACACGAGTGTGGGTCTTGGCGGGGAGGGGGAATAAAAAGCGTGAATTTAAATAAATGCGAGTGCCAGGAGCAGAAACTGCATTTAATTGAAAAATTGTGCAATCCCTTTTTTTTCTCGCAGAGACTTTGGCTTTATTCTCTGGCAGGCCATTGGGGAGACTTCTCAGTTCTCCGTTCTCCGTTCTGCATTCTCAATTGATATTAATTCATCTTGAATCAAATTTTATTTTTGTTTATTAGAGAACGTTGAACCCGAGACGAGTGCCGTCGGCTCTCTGACGTCACTTGACTCGAATCGAATCGAAATCATTTATTTAATCAGACATTATGCTTTATGGAGGGCGATAAGACCTGACCTCCACCTCTGGGTGGAGGCTCCAGGCCCCTCCTTATCGGAAACAAACGCATCTGAAACTCATTACTGAATCGATTTGATCCGAGCCTGATTTATTAGACAACTGGTTTGGCTGGCTGGTTTAGGCCAAATACAATCTAATTATATCCCAAGTGCGATCAGACACAATGCCAAAGTGATTAAATTTTTAACTGAGGCTGCATCCGATGGCTGAAATAATTAGAGAGTTATAGTCGTAAAGTCATTTTAAAGTTAAAGCCAATATATTAGCCATAACTGTGATATAATTTATAATCAACATATTGTTAGTTTGGCTTCTGGCAGTTTATTTTCACAGATGTTTTCCAAAATACGCTTCGATTTTAATTAAGCTCGGATTTGGCAGCCCAGCCCCCGCCTGTTTTGGCCAGTTTCTGATGAACGATTGGCCAACACGCGACTCCAGTCGAAAAGTTGGCGCCTGCCGTGTGCCAAAACTATTAAAACAGGTGGCCAATATATAGCTCGTATATATAGTAAGCACTCGAGTATATACTTTTGGGAAAACTTCATTACGAAAACATGCAACTGGTTGACTAATTTCCTGCCCTGTTTTCTTATCCAACCATTCCCATCTTTGAGAGAACTCTCCCCCTCCTTGGCTCTAATTTGATTAGACCTGATGGCTTGGCGATAAAAAATAGTTCTATATGGTAATAAAGTTTATGTTTCGGCCTCGGGAGGGTGTCGAATCAGGCTCAAGGGGCTGTGTTTTTGATGGTTTTTTAATTTTATTGTTTTTTTGGTTAATGAATGATGAGCGTTTAATGGGAGATTCCACTGTTTGGGAGGTCAGCCCAGGGCCAAGGAGAAAATAAACCTGAATATCTCATAGATTAATTAAAATATGTATTTAAAACTATATTATTTAAGCTTTTCCGTGCGGGATTCACAAATTCTAGAGCTCTTGATCCGCTTTGGTTGGCGATTAGTTACAAATGCATTTTAATTAAATGCAATTTCAGAATTTCCATTCAACCACAAATAATTATAATTTATTTATCAAATAATGTTTGTGGAAAAAAAGGCATTTCTGATGCAGAGGAGGAGGTCATGACCCAATCGATACACCTATTTTTGGAGAGGAATTCCGTGGCCTGGCTGGTCCAAAAGTCGCGCCTCATCTATAAGCCATTTAATCATCGGGAATGGTTGGACTCCCAGTTCCGTCAGCTGTCGAGATTGCACTTTACACTCCCCCCTTCTCCCCCCTCCGGGCTATTTCTGGGAAGACGAATCTTCTTTTTAGGATTCCTCCAAAAGAGCACAACTCTCGCAATTAGTCAGCTGCTTGTCGCCGCAAAGTGTCAAAATATTTTTGCTTCTATAACTCGGCATTCTATTTTCCCTTGCACTGAATCAGAGAGAGAATGTGTGCAAGTTGGCCGAAAGCCAGGAGAGGTGCCAGAGGGAGGAGGGCCATAAGCATATATGAGCCGGTAGCCGGGCAGGACGGCGTGGCCAAAATGTCACGTATACGTCGTGTGGCCTGCCACCGCGTTTTTCACGCCTGTCCCGCGATTTTCCGCCTTTCTTTGTTTCTCTGTTTTTTTTTGGGAAGGTAATTACGTCATTAAGAAGAAATTTGGAAAGTGCTCGTCATATCACTGGCGCTTTGTTTGGCTTTTGGCCGATGGGGGTAATCGCTGTTCTCCCTCCTAGAGGGAGGAGCCCTTTCTTCCTAATTGGATTTCGTTATTTATTTGTGAATTACTAAATTATGGCAGCTTGACCCTGAGACCCTGAGAGGCTTTCCCGCACACGTCATAGCCGCGCAAACACAATTATTTCATTCAATATTAACCTCTGGTATCAGTTAAGCCCCGCAATTTCCATATTTCATTAGCAAGTCAATAGAGACTTGGATACTTTGTATTATTATTTACCTTATCCTGCCGGCGGAGGGCTCTAATTAGATGTCACAGCCACTAACGCTCGTGGCATGCCCCAGGACTAGGCAGGCTATTGAACTCCGTGCCACTCAACTTTTTACCTGTCTCGTCGTCCGCCTTTGATCTGCAACTCGGTTGCCCACAATTTGTCGTTGTTGTCTGGCGCTGGCATTGATTTTGATTGCAAACTTTGATGTTTGCATATGCGACTCATTAGTGCACTCTTGCAACTGCAACTTCGGGCTCTCTTGAAGGAGAAACTTTCAGCTACGCATTTAATTAAATAAGTTTTTTGTTAACAACCTGCCACTTAGAGGGGAGTTTGGAGGGGGAGCACCCAGCCAGGTTGCAATATTGACAACAATTTATCAAAAAACTATTACTGCTGGCGCCGTTTTATGCAAATCACAGTGTACAGTGAGGCCCCGTGTCTGGCTCTGTCAAGCGGCATTAGCATCACCATCAGCATCAGCATCGTAATCGCATTTCCAGTTCACTTGTATAGACAGCAGAGAGAGAAATTAATATAAAATATTAAAAACAAAATGCATTGCAAAGTTTCACATAAGAAGCTCAATAAGATAGACCTTTTCTCTCTCTGTAGGACTGGTCCTTTGTTGTCAACACATCTCCCCCTTTTTTGTCTGCCCAGTGCCATGATTTTGAATAGCCATTTTAGAAGTCAACAACAGCTTATAGTTATGACTCTGATGGCCCCTGTAATTGAGTTGCAGTCGCAGGGCGAGGGAGCAGAGTGGCACTTGGGGTTTATGCAAAACACTCCATGGCCATAAATTGCCTCGGCTTGGGCTTGGGCTTGAGTTGCTTCTTGCATTGTTTAAGCCAAATTGCTTTTGACAATAGCCGAACAATGGCCGGGGGATCGAACAAGTAGTTATCTCAACGCCCCAGCGCTATCGCCCGATTTAGCACAAATGCCGGACATATGGCTAAATAAATAAATGCATATGGGAATGCATATTTCATCAAGAGCAATATATGTTTTTGTCGGTGACTGGTTTTTAATGGTATTCTTTCTACAAATGGTGGGAAAAGGGGCTTGTACGAGTGGTCATCTCCATCAGTGTCGGAGCAGCTACTTGAGGGTCGTGAAGAGTTTGACAAATGATGGCTCGAGTGTCAACTTCCTTATTAGGAGGTGGCTAGACGAGAGTGGCATTGACTTCGCCGACAATGAGGAAATTACAATCTTGGATTTTATTTAACTTTTTTCAAACATTACTCATTTCATGCCTACAAGTTCTAATAATAGAGAAAAATAATCATTAATGCAATCAACAAACCAGGAAAGCCAGACACGCCTCCCATTCAAAACCCCCAACCTGCCTCATTTTCATGCCTCACTGAGCCCCCGAATAGGCTCTTTTCGCTAAATGTTATTATTTGATCGGTCGGACAAACAAAATGAAAAATAAAACTTAATTAAATGTGGAGAGTGGAGTGGTGCTCCCCCTCAATGCCCGAAATAAACCCAAAAATGCATTTTCTATTTTCGGCTAAATATTTTGGGGCTCTCGGTTGGTGTAAAATTTGTTTATTATTCAGTTTTTTTCGGAGGGGAAGTGCAGCAGTCCTCCGATTCGGATCTCCCCACTCCTTGTCACTGGGGTCGCCCTGTTTATTATGGGAGACCACGCTCGACTGATTTATGTTCATTTATTACAAACGAAATCTGTGCTGTGTTTTGTTTTCAAGTTTCACTCCCAACACTGGCAGCTTGATTGGAGCCATCATTATGCAATCATTGAATGTCACTTAATAAATCTCTCACATTTCAGTGCAATTAAGTGATTTGTTTTCCCTGGTAATTTATTTATGTATTTTCCGCTTTTCCGCTTTCAGGCGTCACCATGCGCGAGAAGAAGGGAGGAGCCCTCCAGAAGCTCAAGAAGAGGCTATCGCACAGCTTTGGCAGATTAAGTAAGTAAAAAAATAAATAAATAAAAAATAACTATTATTTCCATGTCCAAGTTTGGCTTGATTTGTCAGCACTGCCCGGAAAAAAATAACCAGCCAATGTTGAGTCATGTCGAGAGTTATGTTCGGATGTGGGTGCAGTATTTCTTCAAACAATAGTCTATAGATTCGTGAAAACACATTAGATATGTAAATGGCTTACAGAGTTGTCTTGCCAGTTTTATTGGAAAATGTCAGAGTGGAAACTCTACTGGCTTTATAGAAACAATTAACCAGAGAGCTGAACAAAGTTATGAATTGGAAACACTAGCTGGAAGCCCAACTTCAATCAACTCTCCCTTCATAGCTCTATAAAACACTGGAGCAGTAACAACTTTTTCTGACCAACGGGGAGCTGCATCAGAAACACAATTCCCATAAACAAAAACGTATCTCTAAGGCCAAAACGACGCTGTTTTTATTTAAAAAACCTCCCCCCCCAGCTGGCCAGCCAGACCGCAACCGACACAAACTTATCGATTTTTGTGTTTTGTGGCAAGAGCTTTTAATGGTCCAAAAAACCACTTTGATGGGTTGTCAGCTCAGCTCTTTCAGTTTGGTAATTGAATGCACACTCAGTTCCAGTCCCAGTCGAATGCAATTGACAGACAAAGGCAAGTGGAGCTGAAATGTGCCAAAAAATTGCAGGAAGTGTAAACACAAATTGATGAATTACTCGATGCAGTGTGCGGGGATATTAATGTTGTGCTGGTATTTTATAGAATTTGACATGCATTTATGATGGTTTTTGGATCGGAGCCCCGCATAGCTGGCATTGTTGACTCACCGAAACCCGTTTCGGTCTCTCGGGTTTGCGGCATGCGGCTAATTGTCTCTCAAAGCCCACGCAAATGGCTTTTATTTTCGGTTTGGCTTGGTTTCTTTATTTCTGGTTCCAGAAACTAGTTCGGCCAACAGCTGTTTTCCTTCCCATAAGTGGAGGACTGGCTAGTTGGCTAGTCCGGGGCGTAGTCAAAAATATGGCAAAAAATAGTGTTTTGTGTGAGGAATTTTATTTAAATATTTCAAAAAAAGATATCCGCAATTAAGAGGTGGAGTTCGGGAACTGCTTCCTTTCATCAATCAATGGCTGTAACAATAAATTCCATTTTCCTCGCTCTCGTGTTCACTGAACAATTCCACAATTCGCAATGAAAACTCCCCCGAAAATAAACGAATATGTCTCTTCCAATATGTCTTGAACTCCAGCTGCTCGCCCCCATCAGCAATTGGGTAATCCTTCAAGCGGAAACAATTTCAAATGCAACTTGTGCATTGAAACAATTTCTCACGACTTTTCTTCTTATAAATGATGCATTTTCCAGAGGGTGGGGAGAGCTTCTTGAAAAGCGAAATAAAACTTGACTCTGTTCTAGCTGAAGTCTGAATGTTTTCATTGCATTATTGAGGAACTGGCTGAGAGGAAAGCAGCGCTCGTCAAGGAATGTCACTCGAACTGGCCAAGTTGGCTGCCAAGGCCACTAACTGTAGTTGAAAGACTAGTCTAGTCCCTGGCCCGATACTGGCAGCTCAACTGTTGTTAATTGCCCCTGCCTCGGTTTTAATTACGCGGCGCAACTCCATCTGGCTCCGTCCATAAAAGTTATGAAGTCATAAGCCTTGTGCAAGCTCCAAGTAGCTACAATATTGCACTTAGCTGGGGTTTCGGTTTCTTGCGATTGCATTCCATTCCAAAGACCAGAAGCCTACGGACCGGAATTACACAAAGTGGAGTGTTTACTTTCAGCGATCTTGGCTTCTTTGTCATCATCCGGTTGGGTGCCAGATAAGTTCCAGTGATTCATCTGGGGATGGGGCCCTTGTTTTTATACAGATCTGGGTTAATGCTCTCTAAACTATCCTCCAACTCCTCCAAAACTGAAGTGAGAAATCCTCAAATTGCCACACTTATCCCTTCCCCGACTATCATAATCTTTTCACAGCTCCCAGGAGTAGGAACTGAAGTGAGATTCTCAAGCCATCTCGAGATGTCCTTGCTGCTTTCGTGTTCATTTTTTATGGGCTCCGGTGTCCGACTTTGACACTTGCTTGTCGGTCATATCGTCGCCATCGCATCATCTCTAGACTGGGCCAGTGATACACTTGTTCCATTCGCTATTTCTCTGTTTCTCGCCCTGCCACCCTGCCAGGCTTGTCATAATCCTTTCTGATAACATTTCATGTCACAAGCCATGGCCAAACACACTCGACGTTGTCTATGGCTTTAACCCTTGACTCCCGTCCGTGGCAGACACTTGATAACTGAACTCAGTCCCCTTCTCGGGAGTATCTCAATGAAAACAAACAGAAAAATATAAAAAGAAAAAGCCGGAATGTATATAAAAGAATCAGCAGCCGAAGACGAAGCGCGATAAGCAGCTAATGGCCTCCGTCTCCCTTTTATCTCCAACTCCTCCACGGAACCCCCCACCCACTATATAGAGTGGTATAGTCTCTAGAGCTGGACTTTACCCGCATATGTGTCCGAACCACAGTGGTGACTGCTGCGAGTGGATATGCCCATGCGGGCTATGATTTAGGAAGTCCCATCTAATTCAATTAAAAATCAATAACTCTTTAAGAAAAGTATAGAGTTCTCTAGTTACTAGTCCTCACTGTACCATCAAAATCCATTCAAGTGCCTTTGAACAGATTTCGCTATCAGAACACGCATCGCATCGCTTCTCGTCTCGCTTTCTCCAAGCCTCATTGTATTTACGCTCTGATTTGTGAAGACCAAGAAAGCGCTACAGATGTTCTCGGCCACGCCTCCCCCACCGCCCACCACTCATGCTATCTGAAGATTTGAAGCACATATATATATAGGGACAAATCCGCTTTGGTGGCTCGTTTAATATGTCGTGCCATTGATACGAAATCCTCTTCTCGGCCGGCCACACGGCGTATGAGTAATCACGCACATGACCTTTCGCTCGCTTAAGCACATTTAATGCATTTTTCCCCTCACCTCCCGTCCTTGCTCCACTAACTACTGCACTATTAAATCGTAATATAAAAAATGTATATGAATTATTTCAAGAGCAGAATCCACAAACCGAAAGAACTCTTTACGCGCCCAGCGCGTTGAAAGGAAATTTATGTGGGATTTTCCTAGTTAGTGAGGCCTAGGCCTAGCGTGGAGGGGTTTTCCTTGATTTTCTGGTTTCAGGTTCCTTTTCGGTGCTTATGTTTGTGACATTGATGAGTGGCAGTGGGCAGTGAGACGAGAGTGAGTGGGGTTAATGGCAGTTGGCTTTCAGATTTATGGAAATTTAATGCAGTTTGGGCGACAAATTCTAATATTTTTACTTTAATGAAACCAGTAGTTGGTTGGTTGGATGGTCCCTCGGTTGCATTACATCACCTGCTCTGCTCTGCCCCACTTCTGTCAATTATTTTCGCTTATCTCTTTGTTCAGACGGCTCATCCCTTGGGGCCATTGCATTTTCCCCCGACTATCACCGACTGTCCATAAACATTTCCCAGCATTTTCCAGCGACTCCCGTGCGATTCTTTTTATTATTTTACTCTCTGGCGGTGACAGGCGTCTCGTACATGTTCGATAATTTGTTTTTAAACGGCTCATTGTTGTTGCTGCCTGGCAGTGCTGTTTCGACTCTTGTCGAATGGGCCCATTACAGGTACATGTGTTGGGTATGTGTGCTGTTGTTTGTCTGGGAGCCAAAGAAAAAACCAAAGCTTTTTTATGCCTGGTGGAGCGTCAACGCTGCCCGGAGAACGTGCCTTGAATGCGAGCAGGTTACCCCCTCCAGGGGTACAGTCAGTGTGTGTTTATTTTTTTCCAGAGGGCTCCTCCACTGCCCATAATAAAAGAATTTTAAGTGAAATTCACAACCTTGCGACGTCAATCGTAAAATTCTGTTTTCAATGCGGCTTTTACTATTTTCGTGTTTGGCTTCACTGGCGGTGTTTTAAAGGGAACTTTGGCAACGTTTTCGGAATTCAATTAGTCTGGCTGGTGGGTTTGAGAAGCCTTGGTCATGGCTGGTACTTTGACTTACAATTAGTCGTCTAGTTTCTAGAAAGAAGCTGCCGCCACTTTGTCTCGCTTGTGTCTTTTTGCAGGGAACTCTATTTTTGGCATCTTCCTCGTTCAGTGACTCTGAAATTCCCCGGTGAATGTCAGCAGATCCTCCCTCCACTCGCTGCCAGTCCTCTTCCTAAATGCAGTCTTCGATTTGCAATTTCTGGGGCTGCTGTCTCTGTTTATTGTTTATCTATGTTTTCTGTTTGCTGCTGCATTTTCCGACTCAGAACGGCGGTTTGTTTATTTTCCTTGGCTTATGCTGACATTTGTGATCGAACACGTCCCCGCCCTCTCTCTATCAAGGCCCCACTATCTCGATTATTATGTTTTTTGCATACAAAGTGCAATTCCAAAGCCGCAGAAGCTGCAGCTGAAGCTGAAGCCTCGGTGATAAACACAGCCAGACAGACACCGCATAAACAAGGGAGCCACAAAAGGCTTTTCGCATTTTAATAGAAATATTCTGGCGTCTTGATGTCCTGGTTACCCTGTAGCTTGTAACAGGGTGTCTCATATGCACCCTTCTCTGCGCTTCTCAAAAATTCTAGCTTAGTCCCTTTTGAAAAATGATTCCCACTTTAATCAAAAAACTCCTTTGTGCAAACATTTCAAACAAATTTCAATGTTGTGCCACATCCTCGTGGTGCTCTGTATGCTCATCATCGATTGTTGTCTGACTCTTTGCCATTTGTGGCGGCGGAGTCTTAACCCCTGCTCTGTGGTGTGTGGCAGCGCGTGACTTTGAAAATCCGCTCTCGCATATAGATTTCCATTCCGTGGCATATCTCACAGACTTATGCCTGTCAATGCAATGCAGACACAGTGCAGACCCCGACCAGCAAAATAACAAAATATTATGCTACGTGATTTGTTCGGCATTTGGCTCGCTCCTCCATTGAATACCCTACCCTGCAGA